ATTTTAGTAACATCTGTTTCCTTTATTTTGTATTATACTTTGTATTCTAGTACTCTGATAGAAGCCAAAAATCCTTTTTCACAACTCTTATTATTCCAAAAAAAAAATCCTATAATCTCATATTACAACTTTTCACTGTAAACCCTCAAATTTCAGTTCTTCCGCAAACCTAGTTTCAATCGAAAACCTCAAACATCCTCTTTACTGACTCTTGATACATACATTGACACAAAAGCATATCTACCTCCCGCCAAATTCTCACCAAAACTCCATAAACCCTAACTAACTAGCTAACGAACTTCCTCCCTTCAAATCCTCTCTTGAATAATGGATTACTTCATAAAAGGTGCCGAAGTTGAAATCAGCAGCGATGAGGACGGCTTTCGCGGCTCCTGGTTCGCCGGAACCGTTATCCGGAAGTTAAAGAATGATAAAATCTTGGTGGAGTACAAAACCCTGATGCAGGACGACTCGAGAAAAATCCCGCTGAGGGAAGAAATCGACGTTGTGCAGCTTAGGCCGCCGGCACCTCGGGAGACTCACCGGGAGTTTAAGGTGAGCGAAGAAGTGGATGTTTATTTTAACGACGGATGGTGGGAAGGCGTGATCACGGGGGTTTCCAAAACTGGAAAGTTTGCGGTGTTCTTTAGGTCTAGTAGGGAGCTGTCGAAATTTCATCCGTCCAAGCTCCGGTTACACCGTGAATGGGTGAACGGCACGTGGGTTCCTCAGTTGGAGATTGAACCAAAAGAAGATAAGGTGTGAGTTAGGGTGCAGAATGCAGGTTCATGAGTTTCTTGTTGATTCTGTGGTGTTTGTGCATATTGGTGTGTGTAAAACTGTAAATGTTGATGAATTATTTCTTGATGGCTGAGATTGTTATAGTTGGGTGCATGAGAATATTATGCATAGTACATCTGTTAATTCTGTTGTACCTTGAGATTATCGAGTACTAATTAATACCACATTGATGATTTCTGGATCAGTAGAGAATAAATCCAATTTTTTATGTCATATATGTTGCAGAATGTTTCGTAAGTATTTTGTCTATCTTAGTGTTAACTTACTAATGCATGAAGGCGTTCCTTCTGTACTGATTTGTTCAAGTAGGTTATTTAAGCACATACATTAAAACAAAAAAAAAAAAATTCTTTCAGTATATATGTGCTTTGTTAGGTATACAGTAATAAAGATAAGTGGAATTGGATGAAAAAACTGGGGGGAACCGATTCTACAGATTATCTTGTTCTTTACTTATGGTAGAGAAATTATTTATAGCTGACCTCCTCTATGCTATTATTCCGTGAATCTACTTTTGCATTCTGCCATCAAAATTGAATTGCACCAAGGAGAAAATGGAACTGTTGTATGCAAATGCACGTATTCTTGAAGCTGCCATAATTGTATAATTATAATTACTAGTTTATCAGCCTCATTCAATAAGTTTCGCTTCATCTGATCAAATGTGGAACGCTTGACCGAAGTTTAGTCATGTTGAGGAAATGGTTACATGATCAATTACCTTCATCTTTATCTGTGAATTGTTGGGGACGGGATATAAAAAAGATATATATATATATAGCTAAAGTCTGGTGCAACAAGATTTACATAAAGATCTAGAAAATGTGGATACATGATTTTCAGTTTTCAGCTTAATAGATAGATTGTTATCTGATCAAATAGTTAAAGGAACCTTTTGAATACATAATTATGATTCTGTCCAGCTAAAATTTCTGAAGCAAATTCCAGAATCTGTAGAGGTTACTGCACATGTTTGTTCTACATATGGGCAAAACAATTAGATGAACGAAATTGTCTGATTGGTGGAACAGCCAAGATCCTGCTGTATCCCCTTGGATTTGTCTGCTATATGGCTATAGAAACAATTAAAAATCATGCTTTGATTGAACAAAACTTGTTATATTCCGCGCTTTTGATTTAAGGTTGTGCAATGATTGTTTTATCTCTGTGCACGTCCACATCCTTCCTCTGCTTGACTGTTCTAGTGCCTATGAAGGCAAAACCTCAAATAAACCAATGGTTTCCCAGAATCCAACAGTTTTTCACGTGTTGCTTCCTTGATGTTCTCCTGACTGCTTCATTGCGTTTACCACTTTTTTTTTTTTTTTGGAACAACATATGCCAACCTCTTCCCTCTTTGCCAATATTGAACTCCAATCTTCTAACTTTTACTCCTTGCCTGCCCTTCCAGATGTCTTAACTATCGCATGGCTACTTGTCTTTCTCTGTTTGTTTATAATCAGTCCAATTTTAGCTTAAAAATTTACTGTTTTTTGGATTGCAGAAAGTGTCCATATTACCAGCCAAACGGAAGCCTGGCAAAGAAACAGTAGAGGAGAAATTTAGCCGAGGGGCAACAGTTGAAGTTCGAATAGATGAAGATGGTTTTCAAGGTGCTTGGATTCCTGCAACTGTCATCAAACGATTTGATGAGGACAAATACCTGATTCAGTATCGGAGTCTGAGAAACGAAGAAGACACAGAATTCTTGAAAGAGGAGGTTGCTAGTATAAACATACGACCACATCCACCGGAAACTGCTTTTGTCGACTGTTTCAAAGTGAATGACAAAGTAGACGCTCTTTTCAATGATTGTTGGTGGGAAGGAGTAATATCCAGAGTTCTTAGGGAGAAAAAGTATATAATCTATTTTCCGGGGACTGAAGATGCAGTGAAGTTTAAGCACTCTGACTTGAGGCAGCACCAGGAGTGGATTGATGGCAAGTGGGTCATTCCTTCCTAGGTAATTGCTTCCAGGAGAAACCTCCATTTAACTTTCTGAAGTTTATCTTTCTATTTTTTTAACTAAAAAAGACACCCAAAGAAAAAAAAAAGAAAAGAAAAGGAAGAAGTTCTCTGAAGTTGAATATCTCTCCTTGCTTTCCTTATGGTTTCCTGAAAATCTGAATTTCAAGTGCTTTGCTTTATGATTTCCTCGAATAACATCATATGTTCATTAACCAGCGAACGGGATCACATCCTATATGTATTGACTCATTTGATCATTTGATCATTTCACCAGGCTCTGAATTTCTGACTATCTGGCGGAGCAAGACGACATCCTGCCTGTGTGATTTTTCGTCTTCAAACAAATATTGTGTATATGTATTCAGTTGCATGATTCATATATTCAGATATTCTTGCTTCTTTTTACTATCCTCTGAAGTCTGAATGAGGACACTAGAGATGAAGGACCTGCCTATTTGCTTTTCTCTTCTCTGATGCATTACCTTGTGTGGTTTAACTAACTAACCCTAAGCAGAAACTTCTAATTAAGTATATGATGCAGTGGTAACTATCTTGCTTGTGGCTTTTCATTTTTTAACTCACGTTGCATGCAAACGATTCTGGGAGGCTTGTACAATGGTAAATAAGATAAAGAGCACGCATGGTGAATTTACATAGGAAACTCATGAAGTCACGATATATAAGTGTTAACCCCAATGTTAACTCCAAACCCCTTCCTTTCCTTAACCTTTATATATAGTATATTAATAACATTTGGTGTAAATTTGTATAGTTTTAACGTAAATGTGAATTTCACCACTCATATAATTGAGTTGGTACAAAATCCACGATTATACTAAAATTGTATAAATTTACACAAAAAATCGCAATACATCAACCGGATCAAATTGGATAGAATTTAACTTGAAAGGTCCCTGATTCACGTCTGAGTGCCCCTGACTGTTGTCATTGTTTGCTTATATGAGGCTGGGGCTTAAACCACAGAGACAAGAACTCGAGCAGCAACTTCATGAAAAAGGGGAGGAAAAAAAAAAGTCACTGCCTTGTTTCTTTATGTAGCTTGTGCCTGGGGTCAGAGCAACAATACTAAGCAAATTTTTTTTTTTACTAAGTTGCTAAGCATGGTCTTAGTGTTAATTTTGTGGTGTTAGTCCATGCCTCCTTACATACATGATGGCATTGCAAACATTTGTTTTACTGCCTCTTGTATAAATCAACCACCATGATCAGCCCTTAAATACTATCTTTGCCACCCTCTCATAGTTCAATTTGAGCTTGTGATCGAGTTACTTGTAGGTTAAATGCCTTTATGATCTAAAATTAATTTTAGCACCTCTACACAAAAATTCTTTTTTTTTTTTTCCGTTCATTTCCTTAGGCAAAGCACGAAAAACTCGTTATCTCACTGTAGTGTAAACTTTTTTTTTTTTTTTTGGTGGATGAAGTTGCAAATTTTTATTTTCAAAATAGATTCTTCTAAGAACTGATCGAGACTTAAGTGATTCGTGGTTGTCTAAAGTTGGACGAGAGTTGATGCTGATTAAGCATTAGAGGCTGGAATTCTTATATACCAACAAAGTCACAAGCCAAATAAGAGAAACATTGGTCAACTTAGTCAGCATTTGATAAAACTGAAATTTAAAAATTAAAAATTGAAATATGAAATCTGAATTCATTAAATTACTGAATTGTTAAGTTCTACATATGATACATTTGAATGTATATCATATTAAGTGATGAATCGATAGCTTATACTTTATTTTTGGAAGCAAGTTTGTTTAGAAAATTCTATATCATTTAATTAATTCAGATGCTCTATTTTTTATTATCAAAGAACGTGTTAAGATCTAAATTCATAAATTTAAGTGTTGAATAGGATTGTCAGGCACGACCTACACTTTAGTGCATGGAAGGCATGCATGGAAGGCTGCAAAGAGTGAGTGGTAGTTTTGCTACGCAACCCAAACGATGGATTTACCATTCAATTAATGCATTTTTATTAGAAGAAACTCTATTGCTTCATTGAGAACATAGAGTAGTATAACACCGAAATCACCCAGAGTAAATAAAGAAGTCTTCTTCAAAACCACACAGAACAAACGCAGACTCAAAAGATTCAATCTTCATGCTCTAAAGCATGAATTAGGTGATATATATAGTGCACTCAAATATCTTGTAGGTGACTTTAATTACCTCATGAATGTTCAAGTTGCCATATATGAATCGCAAACTTAAACCCTTGATTTCACTTCATTGTCAGTTCTATCATTCTTTGTTGTCTTAACCTCTTCAGCTTCCGCCACCTCGAAAGCCGACCGCGGGAAAGTTCTTGTCAGCCCTAGAGGAGACTTGAAAGTGATCTTTCCAGTTGGAGCATCTTCAACTTCAACATCACTCACAGTAACCCACAAGAAGAGCTCCTTGGCCTTCAGTCCAGTTATGGACTTTAACTTCTTTGGTTCAGCATAGGCTGTGACTTCTGCTGCATATTGGGCAAGCTTGTCAATCTTTTCAAACTTTCGCACAATCTTTTGCTTCCGTTTAAGCCAAATAAAGCCAGTTTCTTTCACGAATCCGCATTCCTCGATGTATTCCAATGGAAGTAGGCAATCTGGGCAGGCCAATTTGTTTAAAAAACACTTTACTTTCACTTGGCACAACTCTTTCTCATTGTAAATTTCTGATACACTGGCCCTTATCTCTTGTGTGACTACTCCAGTTCCTTCGGAATCGGCAGTCAATCCTATTTCCGACCGGGACAGTTGACAATTAAATCCGACTTTGACCAATATTTTCATATCCATAATAGTGCGAAAAGAAGGACCGGCTCCAAGTTGTTCAAGAATAGCGACGTTGAGTTTCTCGACCCTTTGACTTAGGATTAGTCAGTTCTATTTCTCGATGCGGGCAGGGAAACATTTTCATTGACCTGAATTCTTGTTTTCTGGCTGAGCTTATATGCCAGGCAACCCAGCTATTTATAAGAGCAAAATTTGGTTCAAGTAATTAATGATCCTTTTAACTTCAAAATTTGTTTTTAACTCCGATTCTCAAAGAGATATCATGTCAACGTCCCAAGAAGATCGACTATTTGACATTTGTAGTTATGTAACTCGAGCTTTAGTTGGGTACAGTACAACCTGAATCACTAGCAAATGCGTCTATGAAAAGTCAATTTTTAATCCAAAACCATATTGCAAAAATGAATTTGGATGAGCAGAAAGATTTGTCTTGGATCTAAATGAATATCCAACTTACCCCATTAAAATGATGGTTTCACATCGATTTACATCCATCTGCCAAAACAAGTAATAACCTACTCAAACGAAAGAAAAATGAGATTTGCATGCGCCCATCCAACCATTTGCCTTTCTAACGTACACGAAATTGCTTCATTTATATATAACTGACTGCAGCACCTATCCAGCGTTCAAAATGGGACATGTCTTCAACGACGGACTAGAAAATATGCTTTGAGGACGCATCTCAGCAACTGCATTTAACCATCCAAAACGGGCACACATTTATCTCTTCAATTTGCTAGGTACATCTATAAAGAATTTGCTCATCATACGCAACTTATTCTTACAAATAAATAGGCCATTCAAAAGTCTCGGAGAATAGTCCAAAGATTTTAACTGAGCTAATTATCGGTGAAGTGATAGAGAATCTAAATGTATTCTTAGCAATTTACATTATGGGTTGGGTCAGTTTTTTTGTGTTTGGTTATCCAATAAACGGCCATGTAAACTTAAAAACGGAGAGAATAATTTGTCACTTTTTGCTGTTTTGAGGTTTTATGCATATAGTTTGTCAATTTGAGTATGAATGTTCTCTGATATATTCGTGTTCCTTGCCAATTTTTCTTGCTGAAGCGCCCCTTTAACTGGCACCATTTTTATGACAATACTTACTATTATAACTTAACTTACTACGTACCTTTGAGCAAAATTTACAATTCAACTATGCATTTTCGCCAAGAGAAGAAACTCCATCATTTTATTGACAACACAGGGTAGTATGGTACAATATATAACCACAAATAACAAACAAAAACTCAAAAGACTAAAGCCTTCAAGCTTTAAAGCATGAACGAGGCGATTTAGTGCATGCAAATTTTTTTGGCCCTTGACCTTACTATATCAAGTTTTTTATCAATTGCTGTTAGCGAATGCTACGAATTTGCATATTAGCGAATGCTAATATGAATAGTTCAAAAAAAAAGAAAATTAACTTTTATAAACTAAAATCAATACATGTATCATCGTAAACTAATACACTATGTTGAGTCTTAAACTTGGACAAAACTGTATAACCAACATGAGAAAAATCAAACATTTTATGAAAGGTCAAGTCCACAATCTTCTATTTTTAATCACAATTGTCTCCATTTAATGCTTTCAGTTAGTTGTGTATGCACTGGGTCTCGGCTATTGGGTTTTTTAGGATATTCTTACTAAATCCTATTGAGTTATTCGATAACTTTTCATTGATATCAAACCCTAACAAATAACTCATTGATCGTCTAATTGAATTAATCGTTGGGTCCAACAGACATCAAATTTTACCTTTGCTATCTCTAAACATTCTACATTTTTTGGTGTACGTCAAATTGGTCAGCTGCCCTTGGAACTCTTGATCATAACTGGATCTAGTCATAGAGCATTGGCAGAGCCACATTTAACCCAGGGGTGCGATTAGAAACTGTAGAATAGTCTAAAATTTTTTTTAGATATTTTACTAGAAACTTTAGAATAGTCTAAATTTTTTTTAGATATTTTATTATTGTTTTACTTTTGTCCCATTTGAAATTTGACAGTAATGGAACCTTGAACGAAAACATATTATAGGTTACTTTTTCTATCACTTTTTTTTAAAAAAAAATATAGTACAGAAGAATTCAAACTCGAAACCTCTTATTTACACTCCCTCACCCAAACCACCCAACTCATCCCTCTCCTTTCACTTTCTAATAAATGTTATTTATGTTATACTGAACTTTATTTAAATATTCAGCTATCTTTAATTATAAGTGAACCAAACACTCATTTGAAGTTCAATTGTGTATAAATTATTCATAAATCTTGTATTCATATGTATAATTTTAATTACTATACAATTTTATTCCATCAGATGACCTGGCAACTAATAAATCCAAAGCCTCAGATTATTTGTTTTGAAAAATTTTGTAATATTGATTATTGAATAAATTAATTTTTTATAACAAATATTTAATTGTTCCAAAAATTTTTGAACCAACATATTATAAGTATAAACTTATGTTATTTCATCTCTAAACAAATGTTCTGGCTCTGCTACTGTCCAACACTCATCATGGGATGGATCTTGCTATTGGACCCTTGTGCTTCAACAGTGCAGGTATGCATTATAGGCAACATCCTCTTTGTCTCTGTCTCCAAATATCTATATATATGTTTTGTATCTATAAATCATTTATTTTACCTATATCTCTACTACAGAAACAATATCAGATGCACTGTTGTGGTTTCAACTTCAATTTTGTTCTTAATAAAATGTTATTATCTCTGATTTAATTCTTTTCGGTCATGATATCCAAAAGGTGACATAAACAGTTGTCGTGCAATCACTCCGAAATAGTTTTGTCCATTTCAATAAATTGTAAGTCCACTTCTTCAAGATGTAAATAACTTTAAACACAATATAATTATAAAATAATTTTGTTGTGGATCTCACACACGGCGTTGAAAACAATTTACATTACATGACTTGACCTTCAGAAATTATTTTTTGGGGCTAATCTTCACTGTCAAACTTGGGGAACGAATGCCTATTGCAATCGTTCCTCCCCCTAATTCAAGGATTAGAGCAGGTATCTCTCTCAATTAATTGACATGTATCTGAACCATTCAATATGTCTAGCGAACTTCAACTGCTCGTTTAATTGGCAGAACCGTCCTACATGTTAATTTCACATGTTTGGCTCTGAAATTGGGTAGATGCGTGCTACCAAGGATTTGCTTGCACTTACTATTATTGTAAGTAATGAAAGTAATATATGAAGATGCAAGTCACACATTTAATTCGACCCTTAAGGTTGTTTGGAATTGATCCTTTGAATTTAGTAGCCTATGGATATGGTGATCTAAGTCGTTGGGAATTCTTGGGCAAGCATTACCGTCGTAGATCCTATTCTATAGACAAAGACATATGGGATGGGCAGTCCCCAATACCTTACCTAGTTCAAGTAGGAACATAAATTAGGTGATGAAGGTTTCTTCCCCAACTTTTGGGATGATAACATTGGTTATTTCATTAAAAAAAAAAAAAACTTCTTTGCTTTTGCTCCTCCTTTTCGTAGAATCTTCTATGAACCAAAAAATAATAATAAAAAGAGTACGTGAGAATAATATAAAAGAACGGGCTAAATTCACTTCCCTTTGACCTAAATCTGTACTCCTAATACATTAATGACTTGCACCATAAACATTGATAACGTGTATCATTAGTATTAGAAGTGGTACTCCCTAAGGGGTGTGGCTTGGATTGTTCGATCATTAATGTGCCCAGCCTATTGTTTGGATCATTTTCCTCCTAAACGGATATGTATACCAAGAAAGGATCGGTATTTATGTCGGGCGATGAGGTTCCACATTGGTTAGAGGTCGATTTGCCAGAGGGATGGCGTATAGAACTGAATGGATTTTAGTGAAATTCCTTCCTGTTTATCACTTGTGCTCGACAGGGATTTGGCTAAATTAAAGTCATGAGTAGGGATGGCAACGGTGCGGGGTTGGGGCGGGGGTCTCCTCCCCCGTCCCCCGCCCCGTTGCCTATTAGTTCCCCCCGTCCCCCGCCCCGTCCCCCGCCTCCTGCTCCCCCCGCCCCGCCCCGTTTCCCCCGCGGGGGCACCCGCGGGGTTAATACAATTTTATTATAATTAAATTTTAATAAATAATCAAGTACTAAAATATCAACACATCACCAAATTATTATTCATTGTAATTTTACAATTGAAACTCATAAAAACAATCAAACAGAAGTTATTTGAATACAATCCAATATGATAAAATAAATATAACTAAAATAGTCAAGTTTTCACTTTTAGTACAAATGCAATCACTAATTCATTATTGTGTTTGTGCTTTTTTTTGAGAAAAAAGTGTTATTCTATTAAGTGTAATTAGAAATTTAGTATAAATATATTAGTAAATTTAGTATAACTAATTAATAAATTCTATTAGTAAACATGTAGAATTATTCATATAATTGATAATATCAATTATATTACATAAACTAATATACATTATATAATATATCTAACTAATAATATCATTATCATAAGTTTATAACTAATTAACTTACATGTTATATATAATTATATATTTTTTTATATTTTTTTTTGTTTTGCGGGGGGCGGGGCGGGGGTATACTCCCCCGCCCCCCGCCCCGTTTCTAAGCGGGGGGAAAAAATTCCCCCCCGCCCCCGCCCCACCCCCCGCCCCGAGAGCCCCCCGCGGGCACCCGCCCCCATTGCCATCCCTAGTCATGAGAATTGGAGTTATTGTCTGTGTATGTGTCTGTTTACACACACAAATCTATACTACATATAAAGGTTGAGGGAGGGATCTGGAATTAACATTTATCATCACTTTATAAACTTTCGTATTTGTGCTTATAAAAACTACTTTTACTTTTAAGTATCTATAACTACTCATGATTATATTTATTTGTAAATATATGTTTTCAACATAACTATTCATAAACATTATAAGTATCAATATAAAACTATTTTACCAAAAAATATTTAAAAGATTAAAGTTTC